ATCAACAAACTAGACAATAGACAAGATTAATAAACTAGACATTGGACAAGATCAATAAACTAGACATTGGACAAGATCAACAAATTAGACATTGACAAGATCAATAAATTAGACACTAGACAACATTAATAAACTAGACACTAGACACCATTAATAAACTAGACACTAGACAACATTAATAAACAAGACAACAGACTAGATAAATGAACTAGACACTAGACAATATTAATAAACTAGACAACAGACTACATAAATAAACTAGACACTAGACAACATTAATTAACTAGACAACAGACAAGATCTTGTAATAAAATATGAAATAATAATAAATAGAAAAGGATAAAACAAATAAAGAGGAAAAACTGGCTAAATACCTCGGAATGTGTCATGAACATAACACTCATATTATTTACTTCAAGAAGAACATCTTTCTCCTTTAAACCTCCCTGAGATGCAGGAGTATGTAGACCCATCACNGTTAGGGAGGTAGAAAAGGATAAAACATATTATATAGGTATATAGGTATATAGGTAGGTATATCACCCTAAACTAAGCTTTCGGTGTGTTCTGAAGTAATTTGCAGTACACTGACCGAAGATATAGTAGCGTTTTAGTTGAGAGTGATATGTAGGTATAAAGGGAGGAAGGTAGAAGGTAGGGAGGTTTTTGTATAGGGAGGTAGTTAGGTCGGTAGGTAGTTCCGTAAGGTGGAATGAAGGTAAGGGGTAGGTAGGAAGGTATATAGTTAGAAAGTTAGAAAGGTAGAAAGGTAGAAAAGTAGGGTAGAAAGTTAGAAATATAGAAAAGGATAAAATCATATTAAAAGAAATCTGATTTATCTTAATCAATTAAATGAAGATATTTTAGATAAAATGTTTAATTTCACTAAATTTAAGCTGACCTTGAATGACAAAATGTGAGGAACAAATTTTAAGTTGATACATTTCTGTACAAAGTATTCAAAGGAATTGAGTTTTTGCCACAAACTCAAATTTTCTAATCCTTATATTTTTTCAACCTGAAGGTGTAAACCCTTGATATTTTTAATTGAGACATGTTGAACCTACATAATTCATAGTTTGAGATATCAACGGTTTACCATACTGTGTTGCAAAGATATTGGGATTAAAAAATTAGAGTTTGTGGCAAAAACTCATTTTTTTATTGAAATCTTTAATAAGACAAAAAACCCAATTCTATCCACATAGTTCTTTAATATTTAGGAAATATTTTATAATTTTATTATAAACTAGCTTAGGAAGAGTCACGGAAGTTCGTAGTAAGATTCTGACTCCACTGGAGACCACCGGAGGGATTTCGTTTTCACTGGAGGGGTTTGAAAAAATGCTTTTTACATAAGGACATCTGAATCCATCCAGTGGAATGTAAATCACCCTGCGTAAAGTTTTAAATTGTAAAAAGCATTTTTTGAAACCTCTCCAGTGAAAATAAAATCCCTCCGGTGGTCTCCAGTAATATCGAAATCTTACTACGAACTTCTTTGAGTCGCTTAGGAACCAAGCGCTGCCAAGGTTGCTTAAAGTCACTCCCACCGTTTACCCGCACTTGTACGATTTTACCGGGAAAATAAATTTTCCCTCTTTAAGTCGAGCCACTCAATTTAGAATCTCAAAACCAAACTAATAACATTCCCGTGAGGCTCCCGGGTTCCCCAATCAAAATTTGAGGCAAATCGGTCCAAGGGTTCCTGAGTTATGATAGGACAAACAAACAGACAGACACAAATTTATATATAGATATAGATATTCTGTTTATATAACCGTTTCACAAATAATTAAAGCGATAATTTATATAAAATCATTTAGGTAGATCATTTAGGTACAGTGATAACCATAAAACAACGCAATGGAAGACGATAATAATTGCAAAAGTTCAATTTCTAGGCAATTATCAGGATTTCCACGCTAGTTATCTATATATATATAGAGTTGTCCAAAAAATCATTTCTAGATATATATATCTACTTTGCTTGACGTCATATCTCATTCAAATATTGAAAAAATGTTGAAATGTGAAACTGCGCTGATTTAGGAGAATTTAAATGCAATCTCTAATCCGAATCCGGGCAAAAATGTTGTTTACAGGTAAAGTGCATTCATATTTTCCGACCTTGAATAAATGCATCAAGATCGTATTCCATTATATTTGAATTTATAAGATGGCCGCCATTTTTTCTCTATTTTCTTTTTACGGTAACTCTTTTCTATGAGTCTACATTATATTAACATAACAAAGATACGTTTTCTGTTCAAAAATATGTCTACTAATGTAGAACAGTAATATAGATTGACAGATAGACAAGCAGATTAACAAATAGAGACGTAGACAAATAAACCAGTCACCCAGATAGAGGGATAGAAAGACAGACAAGCAGTTCTACAATTAGACAAATATACAAATATAGAAGTTGCCAAAAAATGAGAGAGAAAAATAGATATATAGAAAAATAGATGTATAGAAAAATAGATGTATAGAAAATAAAAGAGAGAAAAGAACAGACAAGGCTAGGCAACGAATATAGCCTGTTACACTATATTCGTTGTCCAGCCTTGAGTTTTCAATGGGGTAGTTTGTATTGCACCCCACGACCGGCGGGTTTCCCGACGCTCGTGGATAAATCTAAACATTAGCAACCTAGAATGATCGACAGTTGGAAATAATACAATATATAGGTACAGGGTTATCCAAAAAGGATAAGACTTTTATGAATACCTGTAACTATAAAATATTACAATCTTAGGATAGAATTTGACTCACATCCTTTGTGTGTAACCCTGTATATAGGAGTATGCAGAGCGTTCCATATCATNGGATAAATCTAAACATCAGCAACCTAGAATGATCGACAGTTGGAAATAATACAATATATAGGTACAGGGTTATCCAAAAAGGATAAGACTTTTATGACGACCTGTAACTATAAAACATTACAATCTTAGGGTAGAATTTGGCCTTTTAATGCGCTAAATTAATGCTGTGCAGTCGTCTTTGAAGTCACATCCTTTGTGTGTAACCCTGCATATAGGAGTATACAGAGCGTCCCTCATCATATTGGATTATCTCCAAGCTTTAACGCCTAAATACACACAAAATACTTGAAAACCTTAGTATTTTCTACACATGTACATCTTTATATTAACATTTACAATTTTTTTAAAAAAAGATTTAGTCTTTTTAAATTTTCTGATTAGTCCAAAAAATGCATCGCTACTTGAATCTCTAATTACCTGAATACCTAAATACGCAAACCGAAAAATGTGTATAAACGATCCAATATAATGTGGGACACCCTGTAGATAAATAGACAGGTGTACACAAAGCTAGGGATGATTGACAGTTAAGGCAAAAATTTTGGCAGGAACAAAATTCGAAAGGAAAACAATTAGACATTGAGTCAAGAAGAAAAGTAGAAACGTGGAAAGGTTAAAAGGTACAAACACATATAAATGTGGATAGGAAGAAAGACAGAAAGAAGAAATGTAGATATAAAGAAAGATAGAAAGATATAAAGATAGAAATGTAGATAGGAAGAAAGAAATAAGGAAAGGAATGTAGATAGGAAGAAAGATAGAAAGAAGAAATGTAGATATAAAGAAAGATAGAAAGAAAGGAATGTAGATCGGAAGAAAAATAGAAGAAATGTAGTTAGGAAGAAACATAGAAAGATAGAAATGTAGATAGGAAGAAAGATAGAAAGATAGAAAGATAGAAATGTAGATAGGAAGAAAGATAGAAAGAAGAAATGTAGATATAATGAAAGATAGAAAGAAAGGAATGTAGATAGGAAGAAAAATAGAAGAAATGTAGTTAGGAAAAAAGATAGAAAGATAGAAATGTAGATAGGAAGAAAGATAGAAAGATAGAAATATAGCCAGGACAAAATAATAACTTTAGCTAGGTAGACAGGTAGACAGGTAGATTGGTAGATAGGTAGACAAGTAGACAGGTAGATAGGTAGATAGGTAGACAGGTAAATAGAGGTAGACAGGTAAATAGATGTTTCAGGAAACAAACGGACAGAAAATCCGCCTAAAAATGGTGAAAACTTTATTCCCCCTTTCAGTGTCACAAAATCAAACTTGTTTTATACGAACCGGTCACGTGCGACTTAAGCCCGCCTCCTGCATACCTGTTACATAACTTAAATACGTAGTTTTTAAAATATTAGTTTAAATATACGTCTAAATTGTTGACATGACATTTTCTAATTAGAGTCTGCATTCTTAGAATTCTTGAGAAATCTTGAGAAATATTCAAACCTTTTCTACTTTCAGAACCAGACCCTCATCCACACCTCCAACCACCCTAGATCAGTATCTATTTTCATCATATGTTTTCATTTGTACAATTTTTGTTTTTATCATATTATTATTATTATTGTTATTATTATTATTATTATTATTATTATCATTATATTATTCTACCTGAATCCCCAAGGTTGTGTGGCTGAAGTTCTGTTTAAAATCACTTCTACGACCTAGAATTAAAAAAGATAACTATTTAAAATTAATTTTTAACATTTTGTTTTGAATGCAGTTCTAAACACACACCTCTCTCCCCATCCTAGATTTGACTGTAGACTTTTCTAATTGAAATTTTAAAAGACCTAAGAATATGTTTCTTAAACAAATTTGTTTGATAAAAATAAAAGTTTAGTTTACACTTTTTAAACGTACAAAAGTTTTTTGTTTTTGCTTTAATGAAAAATATTCAACACTGAAAATTATTTGAAGTTAAATTTTTTGCTGTGAGGCCAGATTTTAGGAGAACCTCGTTTCTCTCTCTCAATATTTCAAGATCCAAGAAAAATGGAGAGGGGAGGGGGGGCGTCACATAGATAGAACATCTGAATATGTTTTCAAATACCATAACTTTACGTTTTTTTGTTGACATCAAGGATATGCTAATTACAAAAGGAACACTTCATATCACGTAGAATTCACGTAAATTTCACCCAAAAGCTATATATAAATTTAGCTTGTCTGTCTGTCTGTTTGTGTCCAATAAACGTGAAAACGGCTGAACCGATCGGGTCCAAACTTTGTGTGGGACCTCACGCGACCCCAGGGAAGGTTTATGAATGATCAAAATTTGTGCTTAAAAGTCTCTTTTTTTTTTGTAAAATTTTGAAAATGCGCGAAAAAATATTATGAAATCCGCAAGCGTTTTTGTTTTATACCGTACAAAGAGAAGATGCTCACAGATGAAGCCATAATTAAAAAATGAAATAGAAGATGTGCGCGAAGCGCCCTGAAAACCCGGTATACTAAAATATACTTTGATTGTCTGTCCGTTTGTATCCAATAAACGTTAAACGACTGAACCGATCGGGCCGAAATTTTGTGTGGAACCTCGCGTGCCCACGGGAAATTTTATTTTGGATGGTCGAAGTTTAAAAACTCGATTTTTGAAAATTTTAAAAATTCACGAATTTTTTTTTTATAAAATCCGAGAAATTTTGTTTGTTTTTGTTTTACAATGTGGACGAAGAAAACGTGTTTGAACAATTGAAATAGAAGAATCCCGCGAAGCGCCCTGAACTCCTTGTATATTAAAATTTTATATGATTTGAAACCTGAGAATCTCAGGCGTTGAGCGATACATAAAAGATATACTGGTCGCGTGATTCAGACGGAAATCACGTGACCAGTATACTGTACTGCCATTGGCTGAAGTTCTGCAGACGTAATACAGACTATACGGCCTAAATGTAATAATCTTTTCAACAATATCTATTAAAAATACAAAATAAAAATTAAAAATTATGATTGGAGCAAACCTGAGATTCTCAGGCTCCTGTGGGATATTGTCTTTTTCAGATTAGTTGCGTATTTGTTGAATATGATCTGTTTTAACCTACTACTTTTATACAAAATTGTATATATATGAATTTTTGTATAATTTTGAAACAGATTTTGTTCTATTTGGTTCAGCTAAAGAATTAAACATATCATGGAAGGAAGCTGGAAGGTTTTCATAAAAGTTTAACTTGGTCTAAAGATTCTAAGTTTTACAGGAAAGTTTGGTTTCCAGGGAAAGCTGGGTTTCCAAGCTAGTGCTGGTAAAATATATCTACAAAACCCCACAACAAAGTTTATTAATATTTTGGCCTTGATCAATGTAAAATATTGTTGAAACTTAAGCGGGGCATCGGTGGTTAGTTGTTTAATTGGCTTGTTAGTTCGTTGGTTCGTTAGTTAGTTGGTTCATTGATTAATTGGTTCGTTGGTTCGTTGGTTAGGCTCCTTAACTCATCATTCATAATATCCATATTTTTATTCAACTACAAAGCACGAGAAAATACAAATAAAAAAATCACAATTTACTTTGGACCCGCCTAACTAGAGTATGTTGTTTTAATTGGTTGGCCTACTATAAACGAATGAGAATTGCAGATAAAAACACTGTACATTGTACATTTTAAACATAAGTATAATGATAAATCAGGAAAGGGGTAAGGAGAAGGTGAGGTAGTAGTATAAGTATGTTATTAAAATCATGTTTATGAACTACAGGGTGAAGAAGATAGTAAAGACTAAGTTTATCAACATGATACACAGTTTTTTTACAGATATAACTTGAATAACTATCTAAATAGATCTTGGCTATTGTTCTTTTAAACGATTTTGCAGATTTAGTTTCGTTAAGCTCTAATTCAATCGAATTCCATATTTTTGGAATTAAAGCAGAGGGAAGGAAAACATTCTAGAGTTTTAAGGAGAACCCGTTCAAGTTTATATGATTTTGTTCTATTTGGTTCATCTAAAGAATTAAACATATGATGGAAGGAAGCTGGAAGGTTTTCATAGTTTATATGTATCATCAAGATCTAATCTGAAAAATATTGAATCTGAATGTGCCTTAAATGAACAGGGGGGGGTCCAGCACCCATAGCCCCCCTCCCCACTATATAAGCCCCTGAAAGCTGGCTAAATTGTATAAAAGAAGAAACTTTTTCTTTTCTTCCGCAGTTTTAGGTTTATGAAAATAAAAGAAGATTTTAAGGTAAAGTACTAAGATTAAAATTTAAAATTCGAATCATGGTTTCTTTTGTTTTATAATTCTCAAACATTTTTCCGATAACACGGAAACAAAATACGGAAAAGACCAATTTCTATTTGAGAAAAATTCCGGAACAAGCTAATTTAACTTGGAAGATTTACTTGAACCATTTATTTTAACAATAATGATCCAAAAATGTAAAATTTCAATCGATGAATAAAAAATCAATTAAAACAACTCAGTTTGATTTTTTGGCTGAATTCTTTATCTCAGTTTTTTACCTATAGTTTTTAAATAGTATTTTTGAAAATCCCATTTGGTTATAAGTGTTCTCTATCTGTAGAATCACAACTTGAAAGTAATTTAAACATATTTTGATGTTTTCTTCATCATCATCTGTCCTAGAACAGAATTGCAATTATAAAAAACATCATGAAATAAAGAATTGAAAAAATTATTTATATAAGAAAAGAAATTTAACAAATTTTATTGGTCAAACATTAAGAATGAGAATCTTGATTTGAACTGATAGTATTTGACGAAAACGTCATTCATTTTCAGCGTCGTAATGGACATTTTTTAATTCGCAGTTTACAGGAAACCATCTCTTTATTTTGTAATAACCTTAGCTCTAGTCCGACGACGTTGTGTCCAGAATAGACTCTATTTGACAAAATGATACTCTATAATAATCTGCAATTTTTTTTGCAATTTGCTAAATTTTAAGTATTATCGCAAAATCTAAATTTTAAGCGAAAAATGTGCAAACAAAAACAAAAACAGCGCGAACTATGACAAATTATGCATTTTTAAAAAGCCCTTGACCCAACAAATTGAAATACGCAAAAAAATTCAAAATGTTTAAAATCTAAATGTGTATTCAAGAAAAACTAAAATTGTGCAAATAATCTTTTTAAGCGTCTGTCCAAAAATATACGCAAAATTTCTTTGCAGAAATTGTGCAATCTGCTTCCTTGTGTTGTAGGCTTTCCAACGACTGGAAGTAGGTCTAGATTTTAATTTAGTCTGGTTAATGTCAAATCAGGCATTTAGGCAGTATATGCTTGAGGACTCAGGCAGTTGGTAAAAAAGCCCAGCTTTTATCCTTAAGTGAGGGGCATGCAATTATAGTTAGAAAAGTAAAAAAATTAAACAGCCTCAGACAAATACTTTTTGAGTTATGGCAAAAAAGAGGGGGGGGGGAGGGTTCACGGAGACCCGCCCTCAGTCGGAATAGGGTTAATAACAACTTTGCCTATTCTGTTTAGACTGTTGATTTATATTAGCGCTTATAAAGTTACTATTGGCTCGCATAATTTTACTTGCTCTTTAAGTCTCTGAATGGGATTGAGGAAACCTTTTAATCTACCAGACTATTAAGTTCTTAGTTTGGGTTGTAAGATTGTTTTGATCTCCAGGCAAAGCTGGGTTCCCAAGCTAGTGGTATTGTAATNAAATAAGTTAAAAAGGAGCTTATTATGATTAAATTATATTATATCATAATATTAATTCATTCTTTGAGCGTAAAGTCTATATGATCTATCTGTTAGTCGTAAAGAAATTAATCATAATTAATTAATTAAACCGGCCTTCCTGTACTCAAATACATGTACTGCATGCGGACAAAGGTAGAGTACATCATGGGTACCCATGGAGTACATGCAGCGGACATTTACGAAATGTTGTAAATCTCATTTTATTTTAGAATGAGGGGGGTTGGAAACTGGCCTTGTTGGGTCAGTTTTGGGTTCTACGCAGCAGTTGCTAGTATAAGTGGTTGGTACTTCTTCATCATGTATGATGATATTGCAGGCCTTAAACCAGGTACTGGGGGGGGATTCTACGTAGCAGTTGCTAGTATAAGTAGTTGGTACTTCTTCATCATGTATGATGATATTGCAGGCCTTAAACCAGGTACTAGGGGGGGGATTCTACGCAGCAGTTGATAGTATTAGTAGTTGGTACTTCTTCATCATGTATGATGATATTGCAGGCCTTAAACCAGGTACTAGGGGGATTCTACGTAGTAGTTGCTAGTATAAGTGGTTGGTACTTCTTCATCATGTATGATGATATTGCAGGCCTTAAACCAGGTACTAGGGGGATTCTACGTAGTAGTTGCTAGTATAAGTGGTTGGTACTTCTTCATCATGTATGATGATATTGCAGGCCTTAAATCAGGTACTAGGGGGGATCTACGCAGCAGTTGATAATATTAGAAGTTGATACTTCTTCATCATGTACGATGACATTGCAGGCCTTAAACCAGGTCTTAGGGGGGATTCTACGCAGCAGTTAATAGTATCAGTGGTTGGAACTTCTTCATCCTGTATACAGGATAGATGTAGCATCATTTCGACGAAGGAGGTCGTTTTCTTCCGAGCGTTAGACGATTTTTAAAATTTCACGAGCAACACCAGGAAGTTAAGCTATAATACGTTTTCTTAGTTTATTTCATTACTATTTTTCAGATCGGAGTAGAGTTCAAAACATTACAAATGGTACTTTAGACGCTAATAATGAGGTATCACAATTTCATTTTCTAATTTTTTTTAATAAAAACTCTGTTTTCTGAAATTACTTCTTAGATCATAAATTTATTATAATTTTACTTTTCTTAAAACAAACCTTGAAAACTAATTTCTATTTATATTTGCATTATTCCTAAAAGGGGGGGGTAGACATCATTTTAAGGGATCCTTAATTTCTAGAGTGGGATAACCGATTCACAACAGAATCATTGAAACCTTTGTCTGATCAATGGTGACTAACTAAAAATTATAAAAATTGATTTATGTTAAAGATACAGTAAAGGAAACTTGCAGGGTCGTACGAGAGCATTTGTGTAGGGGGAGGGGGGGGCACCTTTTTGTTCGCGTCAATTAAATCGGACATTTCAATTTGGTCAATTGAAAAAAAGTCTACATTCCCTTTAATGTATTGTATTTTTTTGAATATTAAGAATATTAAGAATATTAGGAATATTAAGAATATTAAGAATATTAAGAATATTGAGGATGGTCGGAATGATTCTGAAATTGAAGAATACTGGAATATCACTACAAGGTTATAACACAACATTTTGGAAATAATCTTAAAAAACTGGAAATCATTCATATCTGTTTAGTTTAAAGAAATCAGAGACCGAATTAAAAAAATTTGAGCCGCGGCTTAAATTTGAGACTCGACTCAAATATCGTTGGTTCCACTTGAAATTGTATTCAATGTTGCGAGATTAAAACCGGCCCTCAATCGAAACCGGTTTTTGGCATATTTGAGACGCGGTTCAAATTTATTAAATTCGGACTCTGGTAAATAATAACTGGAAGTAAAATTTTAAACAAATTACCAACAAATCAATAATAAATAAATAAAATAATTATTCTACAAGGTTTATGGGAGACTTTCATGACACCTTTAAACTCCTTTATAATTCTAACTTTAAACTCCTTTATAATTCTAACTTTAAACTCCTTTATAATTCTAACGATTTGTGGTTTAAATTTTATCCCCAGCTTTAGTACGTATTTAAATGGTATCTATTCTATATATATAAAGTTAATATCTCTGTTTGTCAATCTGCCTGTTTGTTTGTTTGTTTGTCCGATCATAACTCAGGAACCCCTGAACCAATTTGCCTCAAATTTTGATTGGGGAAATCGGGAATGTTCTTAGCTTGGTTTTGATATTCTCAGTTGAGTGTGTCGACTTTAACAGCAAAAATTTAGATGCCCGGTAAAATCGTTCAAGTGCAGGTAAACGGCGGAATACTCTTTTAGTAACCTTGGCAAGCTGGGTTCCCAACCTAGTACTGTATGATTGTCTTTGAAGTCTCGTCCTTTGTGAGTCAATCCTCTCAGATTTAAATGAAAATCGTCAAAGAATCAAAGTGTTCAAATCAGAGTCAAAGTGTTCGAATCTGAATCAAAGTATTCGAATTAGAATCAAAATGTTCGAATTAGAATCAAAGTGTTCAAATCAGAATCAAAGTGTTCGAACCAGAATCAAAGTATATGAATCAGTATTATAGTGTTAAAATCAAAATCAAAGTGTATGAATCAGAATCAAAGTGTTCAAATCGATCAGTCAAGCTAAAAAATCAAAGAGAATAGAATATATATTCTATTCTCTTTGTAAAAAATACACCACGGGGTTCCTCCCCCCCCCCAANAAAATGCTAGTTGCACCCATGGTCTTCACCCAATTTTGAACAAATATGACTTCTTCTTCATTCTAATGTGTATTTTTAAGTTCTATTAGTTCTAATAGTACAGAATATATGGAGATGGATAATATTAGTGCAGAATATATGGAGATGGATAATATGGACGAGGATTTTTCTCATCTAAAGGAAACAATTCTTTTATTTAAAAGTTTGATAATTTTTTTTTTGCTAAATCATGTCACCTAACAAGGCTGCAACTATAGAGCTTTCAAAAAAAAGGCATATTTTGTTATCTCATTTAAAAGCTCAAATACAGGGGATATTAGTTCCAAAACTAACACTTGGCCCATTTCTAACACTGAATGTTAGAAATGGGCACAAATTGATAGACTGGGTTTTTAGAATCCCAGCCCATATCGAGAGTAAAAGTCGAAAAAAAAATTTGTGAATCACGAATTTTTCATTTTCATTTTTTGTTTTGATAAGCGATAAGCCTAAAACAAGAAATTAAAGTACATATTTGTGGAAAATTTTACGGTTTTTTAATCTGAATGTTTTCTGTAATTTTATCATAGTTTTCAATAAACGTGTTTAAGACTATATATCATATAATTCTAAATATGCAAAGTAAAATGTAAATTGCACGGATTTTGCAATAAAAAATGATTAACTTTTGGATATTATGCAAGCTCTAATCATGTATTGATAAAGTTGTGCGTAAGTGCGTAAATACTTGAAATTGACATTGATATGAATTCCGGTAATTGTCACAAAACCAGGATATGTTCCGAAAACGCGACATGAGCTGAAATCCGGTAATTGTTTCAAATTGGGATATGTTCGAAAATGAAATCAAGAATCATCAAAAACTAATTCTCACACCTCGTTATTAGTTTAAAATTGATATTTATTGTTTCAATACAGTTTTAGCCATTTTTTATAAATATATGGTGTAATTTTGTTTTACTCGTCTTGGATTTAAAGATATATATACTCCTGAAAAAGATAACTTTGCAGATTTGGCCCATTTCTGACACTCAGTGTTAGAAATGGGCCAAGTGTTAGTTTTGGATCTAATATCCCCTGAAATACACTTTACACTTTACAATTTACACTTTATACTTTACAATTTACAATTTATACTTTACAACATACATTTTTTACTTTACAATTTACACTTTATACTTTACAATTTACACTTTATACTTTACAACTTACACTTTGTACTTTACAATTTACACTTGACACTTTTACATTACACATAAAACAAATTGAAATAACACTAAAGGACACTAGATGTCGTCTTTTCAAGATTTCGATGAAACTCGTTCATAATAACCCTGAGACAGAAGCCCAGTGGAGTTTCGCGCAGTCGGCGTAGAACAGACTCTCTCTGTCTTGTAATTCTACGTCGACTGTTGGATGATGGATCAACTATAGGATAAATTGTTGGCGCAGTCCACCCTGCCCAACTGGCTTGGCTGATAGTTACTAACCATAAAGCTGTATATATACGTGTAGAAATTGATATATTCACATAATCGACCTGTAGGTTTTAGGGTTATCGTTAATGTTGCGCACACTAGTTCTGCAATATCAGCTGTCCACAGAGCCCAAAACTTAAGACAGGGTATCATTATGAAAACCAGTTTTAAAACCCGGGTTTTACGAATGGGATTAGGCAGTTTTGTGGATATCAATATTCTTGTTATGAAATATTTGTTTCTTCATATTCTCCATTTTTTCGAATCTCTCAAATCAAAATCTACAAAATGTTAAGACCCCAAAAAGGATACTCAAGGGTTTTGTTGAACGATACTCTTTTAAATTTCGGGCTCAGAGCCCAAAATTTAAGACAGGGTATAGTTATAAAAACCAGTTTTGAAACCCGGGTTTCACGGATGGGGTTAGGCAGTTTTGTAGATATCAATATTTTTGTAATGAAATATTTTATTATTTAGTTTCTTCATATTCTCCTTTTTTTCGAATCTCTTAAATTAAAATTTATTTAAATGTTAAGACCCCAAAATGGAAACTCGGGAGTTTCATTCAACGATACTCTTTTAAATTTCGGGCTCAGAGGGTTTATCTTTATGGACTTTGACCAAATATCACGATGTGTTTCTTCTTAAAATTAATGAATTTCAGTGGTTTTAATAATATAATTCACAATAACAATCATTTTACTATTCATTAGCGCTCGTGTTGATATATTTGACACTATTTAGTGATTTGAATTTCTATTTTTGGACAATTTTGTTTCATATATATAACAATTTACACTTTTCTCCTTTACTAGGTTTGGAATACCTAAAAGAAGTGATGTTAGGATGAAACAAAATATATTTTAATTTAATAAATGATTGTACACTCTGTACAGTACTACATGGCGGCCTGCTTCTGGATCTGTTGGGGATCATGTGCTCCTAATCTGTACAATACAATACAGGTAACATGCAAACAGTACAGTTTCTTACATTTCAGCTGTACATAAAAAGATCAGCCATTGCACGAGGAAAGTTAAAAGTTAAATACAAGGTACAAAGGATGTGACTTCAATGTTAAATACAAGGTACAAAGGATGAGACTTCAAGGTAGACTTTACCGAATTTCATATACAGGGTGTCCCACGAAACATGACAGTATGCAAGACGACTTGAATATCATCTTGACTTTTGATAAAATTTGCTGCATTTATTTGTCAACCTAATTTTAGAAGAAAAATTTTAGAGATAATAATCACAAAATTCCCCTAGTCCTGCCATTTCAAAAATGTGGTCTGTTTTTTTGTGCTTTTAATATTGCCTGAGATATGAAGAATTTCGTTCAGGTTTCGACAATTTTGCTTTTATTTAACAAAATTGAAATCTGAACAAAATTCTTAAGATCTCCGGTAATATTGAAAGCACAAAAAAACGCAGACCACTTATTGGAAATGCCGGGGCTAGGAGAATTATGTGGTAATTGTTTCAAGAATCATACATGTCATAGTAGATTGACGACTAAATGTTGCAAATAAATTCAAATATTAAAGACGACTTTCAAGTGGTCTTGCTTCTGTCATGTTTCGTGGGACACCCTGTATCTGGCAGTTTCCTCATATTCATGATTCCCTCCAACTATAAACTTGTTTCTTTCATTGTCAAATGAATAAAAAATAACATTAAAAATCTACATTCAAGACAAAAGACGAAATCTTACCTTAAGATTGTTATATTTAAGAGTTTCATTCTTTGTGGGTAACACTGAAATTACACGGGATTCTACTTTTAAAGATTTGAAATCGTACGATGGTCTCTATATTCCCCCATACCTTGTGTTTATTGTTTACTTTTTATGCTTTATACCGCATTTTCACTAAAATTATCGACCTATGATTTTCCCCCAACAGAGGGACGTTATGTTACTTCACGTCCTATGGGACAATTAAGTAAAACGACCCGATGTGTGAAGTTTTTGTGAAAAAATTCGCGCATTTTCATCTTAAAAGACGATAAAATTGTAAACAACTACTTTTTTCGGGAGATTATACTTGACCACGAGTTCCCTCAACCAATTTTGCCTACAAAACATCCCTTGTTGTGCTCTGGATGTTTTGTCGGCAAAATTAGTCTTGAGGAACCCTTGGTAAAGTAAAATTCCCTTAACTTCCCTGCAAAGTAGCTGTAAATAATTATAATGATACAGGGTTACCCGCAAAGGATGAGACTGTAAATACCAACTACAACTTTTTAAATATAACGATTCAATGGTATTTCTACTTTGAGTATAGTATTTTTATGGCCTTCACATTGATTGTACAAAGATAGTTACAAGCTTGTAGTTGCAGGAAATTATGAATGTAAGGAAACAGACAAATTATAATATCTCATCCCTTGTAGGTAACTCTGTATAATCACAATCACAATATGTTTATTGTTTACATGTTTAGGTTTTAAGAGGATTTATAAACTTCTATGATGATATAATAACTCAGATCTTTATAATGGTCAATTACCTGACTATAGTCATCAACACTCTTGATGTTATCCGGACTCATTGGATCTACATTCCTCCAGTTCTAAGGTCACAATATTTTAAAATTATTAAAAACTATTTTTTTTAAATTTAAGTTTTCAAATCCGGTATTCAGTATATATTATATTATTATTATAAAGATTTATTCAAACACAAAGACATAAATACATATATAAATGGTGTAGTTTAAATTTGTTAAAATGAATTTTTGAAAATACAGGTTTCCAAAAGAAAAGACAAAAATAGCAAAATTATGCACAAATAGACAACATTGATCATTACTCATTACATAACATATTTATCATTTCAGTTATTACGTAATCATCGAATCCAACCGCCCGCCAAGGGTTTGTGTATTATTCATAAAACAAATATTGCAATAGAAACATTTATATCGTCCATAGCATTTTGATCGGACGTTCCAGGACGATCTATTATCGGAAATTTTATGCTAAATTAAATAATGTTTTTATCGAGTTTTTTTTTATCTCTAAGAAGATTCCAAGAAAGTAGGTGTAAGATGTAATATTTAATTTCTGTTATAATTTATTCGATGATAAATCATCTATAATTTATCAAATCAGGACCACAATCTTGAGATGGCTATACACTCAGAATATTGCAATTTACTTTTAGGTTTAGATAAATATAAACCTCTAATGGGCGGTTTTCTAATTTAAAAAAAAATCATGTTACAAACGTTATTTCTCAAATTATTTTTTAACCAAGCAAATTTTGGAAACGTTTTATAAAAGCTTTGTTTCAGCTTATAGCAATTATAACTAGCTGTATCTCCTGAATTAGGTTGGGATTGTTTGGCGCGGGTCTGTTTATGATACACCTAGAGCTGGTTAGGTTAACCATACTCTTCTTTTTCCCGGCTAAGGTATCGTGACAGTGTTTTGTTACAAAAAAGTTTTTTGAAATTCAATGCTTGTTGTTACGTTGTATCAAGTTTTTTGCAAAGAAAACAGAAAATTTTTTTAAAAAGTGGAAAACTTTACAAAAGAAAGAGTTTTATCAATAAGTTAAACTTATTTAAGATAAAGATGGTAATTCAGTAACCACTTTTATATCGTCTTTGTTACATGTGGCATTTTTTCATGAACACATTTATTGCAGTCTTGATATTTTGATATTCTTGATATGTGGTCTACCTATTTTGTATCTTCAAAATTGACGGAGATATTGCGAAATTTGTACAATTTTCAATTTATTTAATAAATCAAAATTGTCCTTTGTCAATTTTTAAGTTACAAGAAAGGTAGACCACTTTATAAAAAGTTCGTCAGACATAGAGCCTCGGTTTTTTTTACTTTCTTTGTCATGAATTAAATATTAAAAATCAAAGACGATATTCAAGTCGTCTCTCAATTCTCATGTTTATTGAGAGACCCTGTAGCTTAAATTAGTTCTCAAATCCATAAATTAATAATATGAATAATAAGATCTTGTTTAAGGGATTGTACGCTTAATAATAAGAGACCCTTTATTTGTATAAATTGGCATATTGAAGATTCACTTCAGTGATTTTTAAATCTCTTGTTGATAAACAATAAGGAAGATACCGTCGTTTTTCTACCTTGAATTTTTAAATTCCACCATTTCCACCATTGCCTCCTGCAGCATAAATCCAGAATTCACTATCACAGAGAACCCGCATTCAAAAATAATCAATTTTCAGCGAGGCAAACAAGGATAAATCATTCATTCTTCATCAGACAAAGGTTTTAAAGGGACAGACCGGCTATGTAGGGTAGTTAAATTGAGTATGCAGTGTTGTGGACAAATTCTTTAGGATTCATTTTCAGATTTCTTCAAATTCTTTAAATGTCGTCTTTTCAATAAAAATTCCAGAAAATCTGCAGAATATCTTTGTGATTACGGAGAGATTACAGAATCTAATAATTGATTAAGATTACTTATTTTCGATGATAAGAGTCAATTTTTATTTTCTCAACCTGTTCCTAAACAACAAATTAGTTTACTGTAGAATTTTGTTTACATTTCTCGTGGTCGTTATCTAATAATTAAAAAAACAATTCTGAAAACGTATCCATCCAAAAGTACGATTTTGAACGTCGACAGATCTTTAAATATTTTCATGTCTTAAATTAATCCTAAAGAATTTGTCCACAACTCTGCATAGTCAGTTTAATTACCTTACATAGCCTGTCTCTGTCCCTTTAAGGGTACCGTCGTTAATCAGATATGCCACTCTTCAAATGTTTGGGTCACTTGACGTGTTACCTATAGTTCCTTAAACGTTCAAAATGGCGGCGAGTGAAAATGAACTCTTAAAAATAAATAAGAACAGTCGTCTCTGAAATCTAGATATCAATCCTATATCTGGGTTACCCACAAAGGATGAGACTTCAGAGACGATTGTTAGGATTTGCTTAGGTTCCTTGTAGGCCAAAACTTGCTTATTTCTATGCATAATCATATAGTAAACAATTAAAATACTCAATTGAATGCAGAAACAAAAAAATAATGTTTCAAATGTCCTGTCCTATGTTTAGAGTTGTCTGTACAGTTTCATCCTTTGTGTTGTGGGTAACCCTGTACTAAAAAATAATGCTTCAAATGTCCTGTCCTATGTTTAGAGTCGTCTGTACAGTTTCATCCTTTGTGTTGTGGGTAACCCTGTACTAAAAAATAATGCTTCAAATGTCCTGTCCTATGTTTAGAGTTGTCTGTACAGTTTCATCCTTTGTGCTGTGGGTAACCCTGTACTAAAAAATGTAAAATACCGTATGTTGTAATATTTTGCCATTAAAACATCAATTAAGTCATATTTCAATAGAATATTATTGAGACGCAGTAACAAAAGTCATAATATGTTTGTCATAAATATGTTTTTCATAAATACATTTGTCATAATACGATTTTTATAAATAACATTTTTCATAAATTACAAAAGTCATAGATAACACAAGTCATAAATTCCATCTGTCAAAAATACGTTTTTATAGTATACAAATCATACATTTCTCATAATTTATCCCATTTTAACATGTTTAAAAAAGTAGAAAATACGCAATTTTTAAAAATCAAATCTGCGTTAAACTATCTTTTCTCGGAAATTGCATGGATCGTCTCGTGAGATTTGAGAAAACATCTCAAAATCTCCAAGCTGTGATGCTCACCACTATACATGTATTACCTCAACAACAACAACTGGTTATTTTCCAGTAAAAGCTGCAACAAAAAATCTGGTTTATACTGACAAAACAAGGAAAAACTTAAACATTTGGAGAAAACTAAATATTTCTAGATATTTCTAATTTTTCTTCTCATTTCAGACATTTTTTCTGAACTTTCACGTTATTCCTCCCCACTCTCCCCCCCCCACCTTCCCTGAGATTGGTTGGGAAACGGGGGGGGAATAATAATGTAGTTTTTTTTTGAACTGAGAAAAATCACATCACTTAAAACAAATAATTACGAAATATTTATACCTGTGTTGTGGAGTAAAGTTCAGTATCCTTCAGTTTGCTCTTAAAAATAAGATTTAGAAGAAAAATTAAATATCTAAAAGAGATGGTGGAGATGTCCTATTTGATGAGGGGGGAGGGGGCCCTGCCTTCATTTTTGGTTGAAATCTTCCAATTTTTTGGCTTGAAATCTGTAGTAGGTGACTATCATCTTGTACCCCAGGATGATTATCTAAAGGTCTAGCCAGTGAACAAGTAGCCAATCTTGTATTACAAATATAATGTTAACATATTTGAAAATATAATAGAAATAATATGAAAATATGATTATGTATGATTAGTATGCTATGAAAATCGTATTTATGACAAATGAAAGTTACGAATTTTGTAATTTATGACTTATGAACTTTATGAAAAATGTAATTTACGACTTTTGTAATTATGACAAACGTATCATGAAAAATATATTTATGACAAAATTATTATGACTTTTGTTACTGCGCCATTATTGATTTGTCAACACTGGCTCAACAGAGCGATAATATAATGCAAAATCAAACATCTCTGTGCAAACATTGTTTAAAATGTTCACATTAACCTTTAAAAAGGCAATTATTATGAAACAAAAGGAATTTAAATACAGGGTCTCAATAGGGCCTGGATGTAGTAAATGCCCTACTCTAATAAATCCTTTTAGATCAGTACCAATCCGGGTCGCTCAATAATATGAGGTATCTGTCTCACAAGATACTACAAGATATAACTCAATCATGAACTCCAGGTTGCTCAATAATCTCAGGTATCTGTCTCACAAGATACTACAAGATATAACTTAATCATGAACTCCAGGTTGCTCAATAATCTCAGGTATCTGTCTCACAAGATACTACAAGATATAACTTAATCATGAACTCCAGGTTGCTCAATAATCTCAGGTATCTGTCTCACAAGATACTACAAGATATAACTTAATCATGAACTCCAGGT